CATCAGTCTTTTCTTTCTAATTAAAGTCCCTCTTCTTCAAATGCCTTTTCATCTTTCTCTAGTATAACATTGAGGTCTTCAAGTTTCCCACGAACTGTTAACCGCAGAAATTTCTTTGTCCTCAGTTACAGAACCTCATTCATCTCCCTTCAAACATTTTTAGACTTTTGCGATGCCAAATAGCAGACAAGAACTTCCAGAAAGTGTTCGCTTGTTGCTGGTTTTGCTCATCTTAAACCTAATCGCCTCTGTGTGCGATTCTGTCCAAACCTAGACAGATATTCACAAGTTAACTAGCTGCCTTTTTTATCATGTTAATTACAAAATAAAACAAAGTTTTAAATCATAATATAAATGTCTGAAGTATGGGAGAGATGTCTCCTAACATAACTCTTTATCTCCACCGAGTATAGAGTGAGATGAGGTACACAAAGCTGTTCACTGTGCCTGTACCGTAGACATCCAAGGTTAAGGAAGATGAATTGTACTCCAACCGCCACATTCTTGGTCTAGTAACTAGGATCAGAAGGCACTGCAGAGGTACATATAACAGAGTGTGTTAAGTTATCTGACTAAAGGCTAAGTAAATTAAACAAAGCCATGGCAAGGACCAGAAGAACAATTAGTGAAAAGTGAGCACACTGACTCACTAGTCCTAAAACCATCAAAGGAAAATGATTCAGATCATTGTTCCTGGTGCAAAACCCACTAAAACAAGTGTAGGTAAATCCCTAGAAAGCCGTGCAAACTGAGGGATTACCTAAAGGGGTGTAAGACTTCTTACAGGATACAGGGGGATGAGAAATTAGGGACAGAACAGAAAGAATTTTGAGATTATGTAAAATTTATTATGGGATTTTTTTAAGGGGATTGCAGTCATGTGCAAAACTTACTATAGGATGTTTAAGGGAAGCACCAAAGGTGTGTGAGGGACTAAGATAGACTGGAGAGAAACAAGCATGGAAAAAACAAGGACAAAGAGGATAAAGGGGGCCAGTCCCAGGTAGACAGCTTACCGATTACGCTTCAGTGCGTGAGCCTTGCACTTCATCGCTGCAGTCCATCTGATACGCTTATTACACCCTGGTCTTGTGTGCATGTACGTATCAATGCTAGCAAACTTCAAGTGGGACAACAGGAGTAAGTACGAGCCACTGGAGCAGGACCACATGTCTGAGGGACTTGAGGGTTGTCGTGGTTTAACCCCAGTTGGCAACTGAGCACCACGCACCCGCTCGCTCACCCCCCCACCAGTGGGATGGGGGAGAGAATCGGAAGGGTAAAAGTGAGAAAACTCGTGGGTTGAGATAAAGACAGTTGAATAGGTAGAGCAACAGTCACGCACGCAAGCAAAGCAAAACAAAGGAATTAATTCACTCCTTCCCATGGGCAGGCAGGTGTTCAGCCGTCTCCAGGAAAGCAGGGCTCCCTCACGCGTAACGGTGACTTGGGAAGACAAACAGCACCACTCCAAACATTCCCCCCTTCCTTCTTCTTCCCCCAGCTTTTATACTGAGCATGATGTCACATGGTATGGAATGTCACATGGTATGGGATATCCCTTTGGCCAGTTTGGGTCAGCTGTCCTGGCTGTGCCCCCTCCCAGCTTCTTGTGTCCCTCCAGCCTTCTCAGTTGGTAGAGCATGGGAAGTTGGAAAGTCCTTGACTAGTATAAACACTACCTAGCAACAACTGAAAACATCAATGTGTTATCAACATGGTTCTCACCCTAAATCCAAAACACAGCACTGTACCAGCTACTAGGGAGGAAATTAACTCTATCCCTGCTGAAAACCAGGACAAGGGTCTAGGGGCCAGCAACTGGGAGAGACAGGCTAGATGCCGGTCACCGCACGGCCTGTCTCACAGCAGCTACCAGAGACCTACGTTGCAGGTGCATGCACACCCCTCAGGTGAACTTCAATCCTGGCCCACTGGAGAGAAGGCAGAGGGTGGAGCTGTAATACCCGAGTGCAGCCTGTGTTCACACAGGTGCCAGTACCAGCACTGCTCTCTCCCCATGTTGATTTGTGGCTGGCCATGTGTTTATTGTTTGTATTGTGTGTAGGTGCACACTGTGTGTAGGTGTGCACAGGGTATTGTTCCTGTCATTATGGGCTTGCGGATATAGAATCATAGCAGCCTTGGATCCTTTGGATTGGGAGGGGAAAAACCCTCCCGGTCCCAAAGGCCAGGGGATTCTGCTACCGTGAATAGAGTGAAGAATACCCACACATGGACACTGGTAAAAAAAAATCCTGTGGGTTTTTTTTAGTCGGTCTAAAAATTTTTTATCTCTTCCCATATACACCTCAGAAGCCTGAGTGGCAGTTTAGCTTGTTTTAGATACGTAGAATATACACAGAGTAAAAATTTATTTTGTTCAAATATCTGTAATCAGTACATTGCCTGGCTATGACAAAATAGGAATAAAACGTTGATGACCCCACAGATGCTTTACCATGAAACCGCTAAAAGTCACCAAGGCTATGAATACTGATTTAAGTATTTATCAAAGAAGTTATTTCTCTTTCAAAACAGTCTTTAAATATCTTCCCAAAGTAAGGATACATACAGAAGTTATCTTTTTTTAATCAGCAGGTATGTAGACACTGCATTTGGTTTAGAAATTAGTCCATCATCTTCCTTTGTGCACCCTCCCCCCCTCCCCCAGTCAACCACACCAAAATTTTGAAGGCAATCATTAACAGTTTCCTTATATTTTCAGTATCTTATGTGATGCTAAGGATTTTGTTCTACATACACTTGGGTACACATAGATGCAGATGCATGTATCCATACTTTTTTTGCATATAATCATTTCAATAAATCTAGGTAACTCCTTTAAGGTTATTAAGATGAGGCCTGATTACCCCTCTCAAATCACTGAGGGAAAAAATAAAAAAAACACCAAATAAAAAAATTACGAGCTCCAGCTCCTTTAATATAATTTCTAAACCATTTCAATGATGGCCTGTGACAGACTTGTATGGGCACTTCTTGCAAGCAGAGCTACCCACTTGGCAACTACTGTATTTAAGTTTAAAAACCCTGAGTATTGTGGCATTACGTATTTTTGGTGGATGGCCACAGAAAGTGTTGGAGACCAACTGTAAGCATTTCCAAAAGGGAGAAATCAACAGCAGCTAGCCCAACAGCGTACAAATCCACGGCCATGGATCCTCTGAACAGACAGACTGCGACCACCTGCAAAATTCCAAACAACTGACTTCCAACCAGAAAGCCCCAGCCCACACCTACACTGGTCTTACAACTAACATGTTTCTAGAAGTCATAGAAAGACTTGATTTTGGAAAACAGACTTCTTCCTGGAATGCTAAGAGGGTGCCCCACTTGATGACAAGACGCGGATCTCTGTACAAGACCACATCCATTGAATTTGGAAAAGGAATTCCTATCCAAACACACAGCCTCCGAGTACCCTCCTAACTTCAAAATGCCTTTTTTCAGCATGCTGTTACAACCTCTCTAGCAAGAGTTTTAGCCAACCCTCATCCTTTGAGTTGCTCCACTTGGGGGCCTGTCTGAAAGCAATAGTGCACAAAGGTCTTTGAGCCTAAAGAGACCCTTTAGACATGGCTCATGCAGTATTGCTCCACACCGATACCACGCTGTAACCAAGCTAACTTCAGAACTGAAAGCTCTCTGGTTACGTTCAGAGTTCTGCACCAAAACTAATAAATTCCAAGCGGCAGGGCTCGTTCACACCAGAGGTTATCATGACTCAACAAATCAACAACCAACTACATCAACTCAAGCTAAACTGACAAGGCTGAAAATTTTTAATCACATTCCAGAAGATTAGGCTGGTTTTGCAAATTGTGCAAGACTTGACTACAGCTGTGTCACAAGCCATACCTTGGACTGCACAGTCTCCCTCAATTTTCTCAGTGTTTCAGGAAGGAAATAAACTGTATTTGGCACAGAGTGCACTGTATTAGTACAAAAGGCACACAGCCAGCATGAGTCTATTCCCTGATCTGTTCCACTGCTTCTCATCACCCTACTTATAGCTCTTCAGATCTGCTCCTCTTCCTGCATCACTCCATAAGGTAAGTGATCCAGAGAGTAAAAGATACATTATGGCCTCTTATCACCAAACAGCCATAATTTTGCCACGATGATCCAGGAATTTTGCCCAACCAGTGCTGGAAGAAACAAGTGAAAGCGTGAGAGCTAGAAATGCATACAGATGTTAGTGTCAGTAGATATGTTAAACAGGATGCTGTATGAAGGTAAGTGCTCAAAATGCTCAATTTCCAGATTAAAATAATAAAAAAGTTAAACTATAAAGTTTATTCTAATTGAGTTCATAAATTTCTTTTGTGCGTAAACTCAGGGAGGTAGAGGAATGTCATTACAGACTGCATCGTAGTGCAAAGGCTTAAAAAAATCCTTTAGTACGGAAGATGTTAAGCAACACTTATGGTTATTAAGTATCTCATATTTCTGCAAGAGAAGCCTTCAAGCCTAGAAGGCCTAGATGAATTCCAGCATACTTTTCTGATCACCTTAGTATCTTCAGTAAAAAGCTAAGTCTATTCCACTGGAAGAGAAGCAGAGCATTTCCCAGACAAACAGTAAAAGAACTTCGGGCTACAGGTACCTTGTGAAATGTGAAGCTTTTATTTATTTTTTTTATATATGAACTTAAAATAGAAGGATTATAATAAATCTCACCTAAAAAAAATTCGGGGGGTTATATAATTTCTGTCATCTTTCATCCAGATTTTAGAAGTTTTAAATATGCTAAAGAGAAGATTTATTTAACTGTGTCATTATTAATATTAGCAACTTCAACAGTCTGAAGTTTTATCAAATCATGTAATAATAGTTAAGACAGAACAAAACTATAAGTATGTTTACAGATGTCTGACACTCCTGTTGAATTCCTTTTGGATAAAACAAAAACAATATATCGTACTGTAATAAGTATAATGCAGTATATTTGTCAGTTGGAATAATCAAGATCTAGTCCATTGCCTTAGGGTCACTTGTTTACCTTATTAGATTTGTTTAAAAAAACCCAACAAACCAGTGTAAGGACAACTGATTTTATAACTCTACATAGAACAAAGTTTTTTTTGCCTCTGACAAATCTGAATTGATTTCATCCTTCTTTTGTAGTAACAGTACCAAGGAGCAGGACTGGAACTACAGATAACCTCCACCAACTACCAAGTTATCTGCTTACATCAAAAGGTTCAAACTCCACTGCAATACACAGCGTTGGGCCAGTAACATCAGATAAGCAAATGGGGCAATAAAAGATTTGGACTAGATGACCTTTAGAGGTCCCTTCCAACTCGAACTATTCTATGATTCTATGATTACAGGGCCAATTCTTATGACTACCCAAGGCAGACGATGACTTGAGAAATGAGAGCATGTGTATACTTGGAAGAAAAGCCACGCTTCTGGAGCTATACGCTGTCTTACCAATGTCCATCAACTTTTGTACAGTGGATTCATCAATAGCGACATTTTCTTTCATTATGACATATTGTACATGTGAAAACAATTATTTCACTACTGCCACAATGTGTTTCTTCCTCTCTGACACAAATGGCATAGATCCTGGTTTGCTGTGCTTACGACGATTCAGTTCCCTAGAAACAAAAAACAGAAAAATGAAGTTCAGTAGTTAGCACAAAGATTTAAAAAATACTAGCTTCCTCCTTAAGCTACTAATGGAGATAGCCTACAATTTTTAAAAAAATTAAGAATTGCTCTGCTTTTATTAATCAAAAGCCACGTACTTCCTCCTTTGAGAAGAAGGATCGTCCCTTTGAAAAATAACTTTAAAATTGGCCAATTCAGAAAAGTTTCAAATCGAGCCTTTTCTTGGGAGCTCAGCTTACTTGGGTGTCATGTCAACAGGATTTGCTGCTCAAGTTTGTAGAGTCTTTCAGCTGAGAAAGAGGACTAAAACCCACCACTTTTTGGTTTTACTGTTAATTTAATGGCTACGGCAAAGTATGCCACCTTCTGTTCCTAGAAATTCCAATATGGCAATGATCCAGGGGACGGAAAACACTCATCCTGGAGTTTGGCATTAAAAAAACCACCACACAAAAACCCCCCAAAAAAACCAAAAAGACCTCCACACCCCCAAAACAGCCCATTCTGTTTCCATTGCAATGTTGCATCATGTCATGCTTAACAGCACTGTGGCTCCTTCCAACACGGTATTTGCTCCCATTTCTTCAGTGAACTTTTAGCAAGCAGCCAGTCCTCATTGATACTGGCATTTGTCTGCATTTTCCTTATAATCAAAGGTTAATCAATCCAGTAGTTCATGATCACTTCTTCAGATGTTAAAAGTAGCTCATACTTGTTCTTCCCACGCACCGTAGCTCTAACACTCCCATACATTGCTGCTACAGCACTGCAGTGATGCATTTTGTTAAGATCAAGAGAAAACAAAGCCAGAAGAGGAAGACATACTTTCGCCGACGAGCTTCTCTCATGATACGTTGCTCCTTGATTTGGCAAAATATACTTTTAGGCAAGTGACGGTGTTGAGCTATGCGTCTGATCTGTGGGTGATACTGAAACTTCTCCTTCAGCTTCTGATTGTAGTTCATAGCTGCCTTCTCTCGTGGTGCAAGCTATGGGGAAAACAACAGAGACAAACATGTTATAAAAGAACAGGGATTTAACTGTCATGATTTTCTCCACGAAACAAAATTTTAACTTTTAATTCAAATGGCTTCCTTCTAGCAAATGGCTGTAACTGCAGAAACTTCAGCATTAGGCTAAGTATAAAAACCTACAATTTCAACAATACCCCAATGCTCAAACACAAAACATTGTCACAGGTTTCAAAGTTCAGTAAAGTAACTGAATTTACTTCCTGAACATCAGATTTTAATGTGCTGTAGAGAAAGAAGAGAGAATAGAAATAGTTGACAGTAAAACCTCTTTGATCAGAGTCTGCCTGCTTTCCTAACCCCTGCTGATGAACAACTTTTGCTGTGAAACAAAGATTTGCAGGCATTTTAATCACTAGCCAGTGTAAGTACAAACGCTATAAATGAATTGTCTTCATGAACAGCTTTACAGAAGCTCTTTAGGTGGCCTAAATCTTACCCAGTGCCTTGATCCATTAGGAAGCACAGTGTACATACCAGATTTCAAGTATTAGCTTGACTATATGGCAGACAGGGAGTTCCAACTTTCATCACGCAGCTAAAAATATCTTAGTATCACAAACATGTGAATTACAGGTGAGCTAGCATTACCACAAAAGACTTTAACTTTATCCATGTGTAAAATTATGTCTGAGCCACCATTATAACATTGAAAGTGAGAAAAGCCTTTTCCTAACAGCTAACCTACAGAGGATTTTTCTTTTTTTTTTTCCTTTTTTCTCCAACCAGGCATGTTTCCTTTGGTCCTAATGCTTATGTATCAAAAAGAAAAAAATCTGTGCGTGCTGTGTTTTTGTTTAAAGCATGCACTGCTTCATGAGGGATATCAGCTTCTATGTATTTTGGATTTGCTTGGGAAATCTGGGAATTTCAGCTGTATTTCAGCCTAGTGAGCTTTCAGACTTTGACCAAAGCAGCAAGTGAATCTTTATGGGAAAAAAAAAGTCCTCTACTCCCAAGCCACTTAGTGGTTTTTTTTAACATAAACAGAAAATCTTTTGATATTAACAGAGGATAATCCTGTATCACTCTATAACTCCAGTATTTCCGACATCTAAAAACCTTTCGTATTCTCAAACAAGCAGTGGCACAAGTCTTTTGTCCTCCCATATTTATTTCATCCACTACTACCTGAACCTAAAGTATTAAAAGCAAAACAATCATTCAGACAACTTCTATTTATTCAGCTTTGCAACTGACTTAGTTTCACTTATTTCTTACTTTCTCAAGAAAAAACAGAACCTGAGTTTCAAACACTAACACAAAAAAGCAATAAAAACACCCCAACAACTTTATTACACACACAAGAATCTGGAAATTTCACCTGCATTATTATGAAACATGCTTTGTTTCCCTTAGAAATCAGCAATTGGCTATTTCTCCACTCTGGAGGTCACTTTTAGAAGTGACTTCTGTTAGAATATTTCATAACTTCCGAAAAAATAAATATTATACTCAGATAATTTTGGTCTAAAATACCATTAAAGGTCTGAAAGCAAGTATTAATAAAACATATGGCAAAGGAGTTTCTCCTTTGGGACAATAAAGAAACCAGGTACCAGATGCAGAGTTGCTCATCGCTCAGAAAATTGTTATTGAGGCAGAGACACATAATACTCTTAACCTCTGTTTCTCCACACCTTCTTATTCATAAAAACAATTTCTTCTGCTTTACTTACATTTATCACAACCTCTCAAATTGCAAGCGAGTAAATTTTACAATCTTAAGCCACTAAAACTACCCCGGCCCTTTACTGAAATTCCTTCTAGTGAGCCAGCCTGAATAGCTGGTTCACTCTCAATAAATCCCAGGTGTTCCCACTCTGCAGAAAACTGCCAACATAATCCAAATTAAAGAGCTTTTATTTTAATTAAATGCAATGATTTTCCTTTAATTTAAGAAGAGCAAATTGCTGCTGATTTAGTATAACCTTGATGATTCTACAGACAAGAGGTGAATCTGTAAATTAAAGATACATCCAGGGTATCTTATTTAAAAAACTAATATAGATTAAGCGGTGGTTATGTTTGAGTCTGATGCCATTTTTATGTGTAATGTGGTATATAGAAAGGCACATAGCTGGTGACTTTCCATCCAACTACTGAATGCCAATGCCCCATGTACCAGGCTGTGCTAAGTGCACCCTCATCTACATGATGGTAAAAGAAAATTTTGCAGTAATGAAAAGTTTCTGGCTGTTTATGAGAGACAGTAGCTAGCTAAGAAAGCAGACTGCAATAATGCACTGAATTCCAATCTCCCTCTCTCTCTCACAAGTCATTTTACAAAGGTCAGCGTAAACAGATGAAGAGAACAGCATTACTTCCCATTCTGCTCTGAGCTGGAGAAGATGCTGTAAACTCAGCATGATTTAGCAGGATTAGAGATTTTGTTTATAGGGACTAGAACACTCTACAATGTAATGAATTAGGATTTATATGACATCATGAGTGGAAGACATGGTCAAAGATGACGTATGACCCTTTTTTCACACATTCCAAAAGTGAACGTGCAACTTCCTTCCTGTGTGAGGAAAACAGAAATCATGTGGCAGAAAGACAACTGATTTGTGCCATTACCACAGCAATACTTCACAGAAAATATCTAGAGTGAGAAAGGGGGAAAAAGAACTCTAAAATGCAATGAAGTTGTCAGCAATAGGAAAATGTGTCCTCGAGTAAACTGCCCATGCCTCTTTCCTCCCTCCAGATGATAGAGGCTGGTTATTTTTCCCATCTAAGCAGAAGGAAGGTAAGCATTTTTCCAAAGCCCCAATTGAAGAGCTAAAACCACCTTTAACAAAAAATTCTCCTGTTAAAGAGAGCTGTATTTGCACTGTGCAGTACTTAAAACTTCACACTATTAGACTCCTGTAATTCAGCATGAGAATATGAAATGGCTGTTTATCTATCCTGTCCAGGTTGCCCTTCTAGGTTAGGGCAAACAGAGCACAGGTGCGATGTTTTTAGAATGCAAAAGTATCCCATAGCTTGTCTTTAATTTTTTTCCATTGCTCTGCTGAAAACACCTTTCTAAATTTATTGCCATAAAGTTTATTACTCATTGTTTCCTTGGACCAAAAACTTATGGCTTCTTTACATCTAAATGGATGACAAAAAAAGAAAGGTAACATGGATGTTAAGAGCACAAAATCATAGCTAAAGGGATGAAGTTACATGTGCATTGAATCACAACCCCAAAATCACTACAAAAAGAATGCCATGTCACACAGTATCTGGTACTGCTTGTTATCAGCCGCATTTCACAAAATGGAACTGTGTATTAGAAGCAGACTGAAAGGATATACAATTACTTAGACAGTTCTGATGCGCTCCTGCTAATGCACTTTGCTAGAGCAAAACCAAGACTTCTAACTGCACTTCCTCTTATCTTTTTCAGTCTTTACTCAAAAGCTGTTATTTCTGCATCTTGCAAGAAAGCAGCAAACCTATGCTCCACTACTGTTACACTCACTCCTCACACTAGTTTTACGCTTACTGAAATACAAATCATTCCCAAGCAGAAAGTTTTCTTCTTCAACTGTCCAGTGCTCTGTTCTAATTCCTAACTACTGTGGAAATGTAAGAGCCAAATTTTGCAGCTGTTACTCACAGAAGTAATGTTACTAAGCATTTACCCTCCAAGAACTGCAGGTGTAGATTTTTTATAATGTGGCAATAGACTGAAGAACAATACAGGTTTCTGAAGTTTTACTGATGGTTCATTGCTTCCACTACAATTCAAAAGCCCCAATCTATCCCTTTCTTTGTATTAATTAATTTAATTCTACTCTATTACTACTGCTTTTCCAGCCTTTTCACTCAGACGAGGCTCTACTTTCCTCTTTTCCTCAAAAGCCAAAGTCATTTACCTTTTCAGAAATCCCAAACACCTCTCCAAGAGCACAGGTACAAAAGCCTCAAACATACTTAACATGTCATATTTTATGTGCAGTATTTGAACAGTCTGGAGTATCTCAAAAGTCTGTTTAATTGAGTCTTTTGCTTCTGGATATGCAGAGCTAGATGTTTACTGCTTTAAAAATAACACCTGTTGAGTCCCATTTAATAATAATTATTTATCATTTAATCAACCTTTATTAAAAAAACTAAACATTGCAAATTATTTTAAAGCAACTTCTGCAGTAGCTCCAACAGAGAAATTTGGGGGTTGTTACCCCTATGTAAAACCCATGCAGACTTAATTGTCAGTGGAGTGGAGACACAGCATGCCCCTGGCTCCTCCAGAGACTTTTATTCTTACTATAATGTTTCACTGATTTTGAATAATGAGCGCAATGCCAAATACATTAAAAACCAAAAGAAACATGCATGTCAGAACTGATGACTGCTAGGGTAGCCACGGTTCAGAAAGTACAACTTTCCAACTGGATAAACGTTCATCAGTCACAACATAAGTACGATATATTCACTATAACTTCCTTGGAACCCAGCAACGCTAAAAGCAAGTAAGACTAAGTACTCACCAAAGAAAAAAAAAAGTGTTTGATTACCATTTTTCTTTCTCTTTCAGGATGCTGGTTTCCATCCACCCCCACCCCAAAAATATCCATCTTAAAACACAATGTATTACAAGATGTTAGCATTATATCAGAAATACAGTGACCTTTGGATGAGTCATTCAATCAAATCTTCTCCAAGAAGAAAAATAGCAGACCAAGCAACTAAGCATTTTAGACATATTCTGACACTTCTGACAGAATTACTGGATGTTCAGCTTTGAATATTCAAAGTGTTCAAAAAATAGCCAGACTATGGAAGAACTGGCCATTTATAAAATGAGCAAGCATATGTCTACAAAGATAAGAACACCAATCCTCTAAAAAAGAAGGAGCAGGTACTAAACAGTGGAACCTAATAAACAGCCATTAACAGTTACAATGTTAAGAATCACAGGAACTACCAGGTTGAATCAAACAAGGATTGGCGCAGTTGCCTGAATCCAAGCAACATTTCCAAGGTATATCCAAGAACGGGATAAGCCATAAAGATTCCACTCAAGTCCTATTAACAACAATTACTCTCTACACATCTGAAAAACAAAATTTCACAGTGCTTCTAAAAAAAATTTTTAAACAATTATAGCAGCTTCAGACAGTTACTAATTTAATATCCAAATTCCGTGTCTTGCTAAATTCAAGGCTTCAACAGCATCATGCTTGAACTCAATTCCACACAAGATATGGGGATGTGAAACATTGTCTCTTCTTATAACATAATTATTTACAAGTTCATTAGTGTCATCCATGTGACATGAGAGCAATTTTTCTACATAATTCACTATGTCCCTTGTAAGTTCTTTCTGTATTTCTAAATAATTTTGCTTTAAGATGTCTTTTGATGTTGCAAGGTGGTTTTTTTTACGATAGGTTGACAAGTTTTGTATTCTGTATGATGGGATGACTTTCATTTCTGATCTTAAAAAAAACAAACCAACAAACAAAAAAATCAAAAAACCCCACATGCCACTTGACCTGTGTGTTATAGATATCTATTGACTTAGTTCTCTTGGGAAGACCTTCGACAGAAATGCTTACAAACCCTTACATGCATGCATGCTACAAAATCTATATTTGTATGGTCCCACAACAGCAGAACTGACTCGTACGTGCAGCCTCCAAAAGGCATGTCAAGCAGCAACACTGTACTTACAAACAGAAAAAAACAAAGGATAGGCTATTTTACGTAGGATTCACTGTCAGGTCAAGGAACACAAGACTCAATGTGCAGGCCATATCCAATACCTGATAGCCATAACTAGCAGTGCCTTTTTTAGGCCCATCCATGGCCGGTTTTCACTGATGTAAATACTACAGAAAACAGCAGAATGTCATCTACCACTCTACATTTTGAATACTTAAACAATAGCTAAGTTGTCCTTTTGGTACGTAATACTTCTACGATGCAGGAGTAGCTGGGTTTGTCTATTACTTCCCAGAGCCGAGTATCCTTACTCTTTCATAAGAAAAGGAGCCAATGCCATCTAGTAGTCAATAGTCAAAAAGAAGTCAACATTCTTTTTACCCACTTCTCCTTCATACAAAGGGCACAGAATAAAGATGCATGTCAAAAATACCCGACAATTCTGCTATAGAACATCTTAGAGAGAGACAGCATGCTCGCTAAGCATATAGTGAAAAAAGAGACAAAATTTCAGTTAATACTGTAAAAACAGGTGAAAAGGGTGTTGCCATGAGCATATGGATACAACAATAGGAAAACAGGTAATATTTCTGCCCAACACCACACCATCTAAGCAAATTCAACATAAAAGTTTCATCAAAAAGTAAAGTCTATGTCCTGGTTTCGGCAGGGATAGAGTTGATTTCCTTCCTGGTGGCTGGTACAGTGCTGTGTTTTGGATTTAGGATGGGAACAAAATTGATAAGGCACTGATGTTTTAGTTGTTGCTAGGTAATGCTTACAGTAGTCAAGGACTTTTCAGCTTCCCATGCTCTACCGACTGAGAAGGCTGGAGGTGCACAAGAAGCTGGGAGGGGGCACAGCCAGGACAGCTGACCCCAACTGGCCAAAGGGACATTCCATACCATGTGACGTCATGCTCAGCATATAAAGCTGGGGGAAGAAGAAGGAAGGGGGGGACGTTGGGAGTGATGGCGTTTGTCTTCCCAAGTAACCGTTAAGCGTGATGGAGCCCTGCTTTCCTGGAGATGGCTGAACACCTGCCTGCCCATGGGAAGTAGTGGATGAATTCCTTGTTTTGCTTTGCTTGCGTGCGCGGCTTTTGCTTTACCTATTAAACTGTCTTTATCTCAACCCACGAGTTTTCTCACTTTTACCCTTCCGATTCTCTCCCCCATCCCACGGGGGGGGAGTGAGCGAGCGGCTGCGTGGTGCTCAGTTGCCAACTGAGGTTAAACCATGACAGTCTATAATGAGCTTTGCAGAGTCCTTGGAAGTAGGAAGTATGGGACTGATATTTAAATGTTTGACTGAAGCACTACATGGGAAAATCCCAAGAATCAATTTAGAACAGAAAAAACAGCATCCTCAACAAAAAAGCAGAGTTATTCCATTAAAGAAATTTTACTGAAATAGTAGTTTATAACCACAAATACTGCACAGGCTACAAAGTTGCGGGGTTTTTTTATCTATAGCTCTATAGCAAAGATGAGAAAAATAATAGGACTTCCAAATACCTGTGGTGGGCCCTGGCTAAAGATATACATACTGTTTTAGCTGTGCTACTCCATATCCAGTGCTTCACAGTGCACAACAGTCCATGAATTATCCCATTCTGCATTGTAGCCCTAAGTATTCCTACCACTCCCATTATCTGCCACCTCTCCCAGCTCCGCAGATACTGTAACCTGATGGAGCTTCACGTAACCGCAAGCAGCACTAGACGTAACTATGCAACAGATCCATCCCTTAACTGTACAATATTTTTCCCTGAATTACAGCTTCCCTTTCCTCCCCCCTCAATCTTTCACAAGATCAAGTAGAAATTCCCCCAAACATTATTTGACAGCTATGCTGATGGGCTCAGAAAAAGCAATGTAAGCACCTCCAAAACACCATGACAATATAAAGCTACGTAAGGGATTACTCCCAGCGGACAAAGTGTCAAATTCATTCTCCAAACTCATTCAATACTTTCATACAACTGTGCAGATGAATATATGCAAGTGGTAACTGTAATAGAACATTTTGGCTTTGTCTATATTTAAACATTTGAACAACTGTAACTGTAAAAAACCTGTATCTAATTTGATTGATGTCTGCTCTTACTAGGAACACTTCAGCCAAACTGACTTACATTGAATTAAATGGACTTCAAACACCACACTGGTTTGCCCACTTGATATCTGAGAGTTATATAGGTTAATGACAATCTCAGTTATGCATCAGTGCAAACGGTCTATTTTACAATGCATATGCTTATCACGGTATGAACTGCACATGAACCAGTTACGTGCCAGTCAATTTTTAAAAGTAGTAACCCTAAGCTTCAGTAGAATGACTTATGTATGGCAAACCAGAATTTATTGCTTTTTCTCTAGTGCAAAGGGATGAATTCTCACGTGTAGCACCCAGGTAAAAAACTCCAATCTAGTTTAGTTAGAACTGATGATTATTGTTAACATTAAACAAGACCAAAAAAATGGCACCTTGTGTAGCAATAACAAGGCATGTAATTTTACTATTATTATTATAGGCCGCAGTAAATGCAATGAGCTATACTGCACATGTGAGTTTTCAAATTAAATACAAATGTCAAACTACAATTTTACATTTTCCCTTTAGAAACAAGTTTTTAGAAGTTGAATAGGCTAACCAGTTGTAATAACAAAAAACCCCAAACATCTTGTCTTGCGATAACAAAAAGTAAAATACAATTCTTACCACTCCCAGTTTTTCAGAAGCATTAGCTTTCCACAGACGAATATTCATCTCATCTGAGCCACACAGAATATATTTACTATCTGAAGTCCATTTTACAGTGATGACATGCTGCATTCGTTTTGTATGATATACCTCCCTAAAACAGAGAGAAACATTTTTAAGTGATCTATCATCACTTTTCCCACCAACATTGCCTTTCAAACAGCACAAAGCATTCTGTTCAAGGCAAAATTTATTTTTTACTTTTTGTTGTTTTTTTAAAAAAATCTTTTTTTAAACAATGTGCTGATCTTAAATCTATATATAGATAAATTCAAATAAAGTGTGATTGTTAGACTGATAAAGGACACCTAGGACAAGATGCTTTTTAAATAAGTGCTTTCATAGAAGTTACAGTAAATAGCTAAAGAATAACTGTTTTTGCAAAACATGCCATGGGTATACAATATGATATGCATACTGTTCCTGAAATAATGTTCATTAATATGCTGTTACACCGATCAAGCATTACAGAATGGGACTGCAGAAGAATGAGTGCCAAAGAATCTGACACCACCATTGTGAACAAGAAAGAGAACAGCAAATAAACACCTCCAGCTGTCCATTTATGACATGGCAATGGATTGGCTACTCTTCATCGTGATTTCCCTCCTTTCCCCAAAAATGGACTTCCTTATCATTGTCTAAGGGACTCCTAGGAAAAATCTTAAAACCCTAAAAACTCAAAGAAAAGTCTCCGGTCCTGCAAACAAGAACTCAACAAGAAATACCAGCTAGTAAAAACGGATTCGGAACAGCTGGGTGGCTATTAAAGCATAAACTAGACTTAATTTCTGCCGATCAGACTGCTGCTCAGCAAGTGCTGGCACCTGTTGAAAAATGTTTCAATGTGTTACATTTAAACCAATATTTAAATTAAACTCTTATCTAATTTTCATTAAGTATGTACCAAACAAGCAGAACAATAATATTCATAAAGTTATTATTTTATTTCTACTATAAAAAATTTTATTTCTACTATAAAAATTATTTTATTTCTACTATAAAAATTCTAGTAATTTTCATTATTTCTTAGCATTCTAAAGGTGAAGAATAAGTAAGGCCTACTTATTGTCCACTAATATCCACTCCTTTGGTATATCAGTCACACACTGCAGCTTATAAACCATTCTCTTTCTTCTACCCAGTTATTTTTACAAGTAAAATCCAAGTAGTAATGGAAGGGAAATACGGAAACAACACCTATTCAAGAGCCGTGGAAAAACTAGACTGGGGTTGAGCTGGAGGGGTTGTGAGAAAAACAGAAGTAATCAATGTATCACCTTAAATAAGCTTTAATAAGCTTAACCACCTCTTTAACTCACACTCAAGTGATCCTCTACAAGAACAACCACGTGGAAGACTGAGCATGAGTACCTTCAGAAAACATTAATACTCACATCAGCTTTTTACTGATGTTGATGTTTAATAGCGTGTGTGCACATACCCATTTTCATAAGCATTTCTATGTTTACTTTCATTTTACTATTTGGATCAATAACAAAGCTTTTCTTCACCCACCTTCGGGTAACTAAGTACTTTTCCTTTCCTCATTCTGAATTTTCAGCCTTTGCCTCTCCTGGTGCTGTCATCACAAGCTATTAAATATCATTCTCAGGGAAAGGAAAAACACAAAACATGGCCAAATAACCCGGATCTGTCAAAATTTGCACAGACATCCGGTTCTGTTTACCAAGAATTTACTAAATTTAATCAACTTCGCAATAAATCTTCTTCTTACGGCTTATCAATTTCCTAATCCAAATTTTCATTTTAAAATAAAATAGAAAGCAGTGGGAAGTTAGGAGTTTTTCAAATTGGCGGGAAAGCAAAAGTCAAAACTGGAATACCATCAGGATCCTTGTTTACAGATACTCTTGACTGCCCTCTCAGTTTTCCAAGTGGGATCAGATCTTCCATTTGGAGACTTTCCTCCATTCCATGGGATTAATTTCAACTGTGCAATTCTGAAAAAGCCCAGCTTCTAAAGAATTTTAAGTGTCCCAGAATGCCCTAGTCAGCTTATATGAAGCTAAGTTCTTCATTTGTAAGGCTTTTCCTCACTAGATTTATGGCCACCACACAGGAGGGGGAAAAAAAGGGGGGACAAAGAGGAAAATTCCTTCCACAGGCCTTGGCAACAATCTGCTATAATGTGGAATAAAGCCTTTTACTGTTGCATTATGGGGTCTGCAAATTTCCCCTCAATGATGTGCTTTAATTTTGCATATCACCACTTTTGTGAACATGACTATTCCATAGAAAGGAGAATCTGTAGAACACAGGAGCTGCTAACCATACTGTTTAATAATACAAGAATTAAAAAAACCAAAACAAACCCACAAAGGAACTGCAATACCTAATTACATTTAAAATATTATTGCAAGACAGGAAGAAAACGAAAACTACCTGTAGATTAGATATAAAGGAAAATGTAAACAGCCCCTCTCAATCTTTAATGCAGTATAGGAGCATACAAACAGTTATGCTGAATAATGCATACGTAACTGCATTAATTAATAATAAAAATATACTCCTCCCCCAATCAATATTTCAATATTTCCACCCCCCAAGCCACCTAGAATTTGACCTAGTAGCAAGTTTTGGGGGGGCTGAGGTTGGAAAGAGGAAGGCAACTAGAAGTAAAATAAAGTTATGAATAAAGAAAAAAAGAGGAAGAACTGACAACAGAGAATAACGAAGGTAGGTTTATGAGGAACAAGTGATACCAGACAGATCTGATAACTTGCTTCAAATTTCAAACTGAAAAAAAAATAATGGAGACACATTAGATCCAATCTGAACTTCAGCAAAATATTTAATACACTGCCTTATGAAATCTTACATGAAAAACTAATTCAAAGTGAATTGTATTCAAAGCATTGTCACATGAATCAAAACCTGGTTAACAACATATGAACAAATGGTAATAAATGTACCGAAACAGATCACAAAAGTGTCCCAAACTGATCCTCAGGAATTCATACAACAATGCTTTTCATGTAACATCTTTAGCAATCATCCATGCAGGATGAAGACAGTCCCTAGAAAACCAAATGCTACAAGGTTGTAAGGCACTGCAAACTTAAGTGGTGAGAGATACAGTACAAAGTGACCTAAAAACATTAAAGATACATATAGAGGGAAATAAGATGGGATTCATCTTGGTGAGTACACCCGAGAACAGCAATCCACTGTAATTTTAATACAAAACTGCGTAAGTACTGCTATCCATTAAGTAGTTCTGCTCTAATACATACTCCAGAATATCTGTCAACTACATGACCTGTCAGTCTCAAATTATATACAGAATAAGATTTCAATATTCACAGGAAGTGAATGCCTCAATGAATATGTTAATGAATGCAGAATTTTGAGGACTAGGGAGGGAGGTCACTGGAATGAATGACAGCAAGAGAGAAAGGTGTAAAATCACTCACCTGCTGTGACCTTTGTCTACAGGAAAAATGCGGACCGACTTATCAAAGCTGGCAGAGACAAATTCTTTCCCAGTGGGTGAATAATCCACATCAAGAACAGCAGACACGTGATCCATATGCACCGTCACAGGTGATTCAAGAAAGCGCATATCAAAAGTATATAAGCTTTAAAACAAATACACCAACAGCTTAGTATCTTAACAACTCTTAAGCAAATAGTACATTTTTGCTGAACAGCTACTTTAATCATACATAAACCACACTTAAGGTTAGATCCATATTGCAGAGGTAACTCTTTAAAACTGCTCATAACACACGAAAAGAAAGAATGATGCATTGTTTAGGGCTTGAAAAAAGTTTATTAACCAGAGGCTTTAGTTACTGGATCAGACCTAGGTTTCTTGCTCAGAACAGATAGTCTCCACTCTTCCCTTCATCATCTGTTGATGGGTCACTGACCAAACCTATTTCTCCAACCACCACACTGTCCTCCTTTACCCCATCTTCAGATCTAAGTATATAACCTGAACTTGGACAAGCATCTCTGAATCATTACGGCAAGCCTATCAACCCTGCAATGTTTCCAGATATTCCCATATTGGGAACTCCTAGTAATTCAGAGTCTACTGAGACATTTCCATTTGGTTGGCACCCTTTCCTACTGCCTAACTGTCTTTAGGCCAGACAATGTAGGAGTCCAAGGAAAGCTTGGTCCTTCAATACATGGAGATACTAGTTCAGCAGAGCACACTATCTGTAGAAAAGCATTAAAAATAAACACACAGCTGCTGGACCACAGCTGGTTTGCCCTTAAGCACTTGAAAGCTCAGGTGAGGTTTACCTGTACTCCCTTTGAGTCAACAAGCCCATTGATACATAGCAAGGCATAATAACTGAGTAGATAATTAATTTGCCTAGTGCCAATAAGAAAGGTGCTTTTACAGACAAAGCATTTATGAAACCTGCTTAAGATATACTATTTAGTAGGACTACTATATTAAGAATTTGTAATTTAACAGGTTTCTCACCGTCCTTGCTGCAGATGAATGCAGAACTGGAATTAAGTCAATGTCTCTTATTCAATAGTTTACTGGCAACTATTGCTTTTTCCTTCAAATTCCCCATGAAAAAGTATGCTAGCATCATATTCAAAACCGCTACTCCATATAACCAGCTAACACTTGCGTGTGCGTTGTTGATATATGCATTTGCCATTGCGCTTATACTAATTGCTTTAGTCTGCAAGAGGACAGTTGCCCCTGACAGTAACAGCTACCATTTTTAGTTTAGCAAGGGGCAGGGGGGGAGACATATAAACAAACAGGTTAGGTAGCCTGGTAGCCTCACCATACCATAACCAAAATAGGTGAAAAGCAATACATTAGATACAAACACCCACTTTCAAGGTCTGGGCCAGACTCCATTTCCTTAGAAAAACAGCCATAAGCGATAAAATTCCTATGTTCTAGAAGAAAACAGTGATCTATTGTTAGATCACTGATTTCCTGGAAAAAAGGATATGGAGCACATTTTGCAGTGGCCTAGTTTTGAAGAGACAGCTTTTTCAATATCAGATTAGCTGTTCACATGAATAGTATTGTTCAAAAGTAAAACTGCTCTGAGACATTGAAAGGATAAGTATTGCAGTCTCTGGAACTGTTTCACAAAAGATTTTTTTTTTTTTTTTAAGAAATGGTCTCATCAAAATAGCTGATCAGTACAATATATCAAGCTTCACAAGAGCCGGCAAGAAAACAAACACTTATATTGCCTCAGACTGGACCAACAGTACTTATTTTCCAGGTCCTGTTGCAAGTTACACTTGCATTGGTTCAGCTGCATTTTTTCTACGGTACACTGCTTTTTTTCCCCCCAGGTACTGAAATACAGAGACAGAGGCAGTCTACTATCAATTTTTTTTTTTTTTTTAAATCAGTGAGCCTACAATTTTCTAGGTTATTACTTAAGTGATTCAAATTTAGAGTTTTAGTAGTTTTTCAAAAATTTATTTTAGCATGATGATAAACCACCAAGATACAGATTAAAAACATAACACGATCAGGATTATCAAAAAGCAAGGTCACACTTACTTGTAATCTTCATTTGCTGCAGTAAAAATGAAAGCTTCCATGGGGTTCCAACACAGAGTATTTGTCCTCATGTTCAAGATAACCTGAAAGATATTTACACATTGCTACCTTGTTATAGGCAGTAAAATACTCGCTGTAGTTCAAAGCTTCCTGTACCACTGGAGACAAGCACTTTCTAGATGCAAAATTATGGCAGAGGAATAGTGACATGACAACGTCTCCTTAGCAGTGTTAGAATTGGAATGCAAGAACTTCCTGTCCCTCATCATATGCTCGCTGCTTTGTGCTACACAGCAATTAAATTTTCCTCTGTAAATCACCTTAGAAGCAAATTCTTCTGAGTAGTCATTTAACATGTAAACATGTTAGTGGTCAACATGTAAACCTGGAATTCCTGAAAAATTTCACTTCATCATATTTACAGGAACCTTTAGTTAAGTAATCTATAAACACACCTAATTAAATGGTTATTTCAAGGGATATAGTCATTAATTGACACTGTGAACCAGCATTTGCAAAGCTATTACAACATTTTGGTGTTCTCCCAGTTATTACTATCCCTTCATTATTTTCTCTCTGAAATTGCAGTTCATGAATTCTCCAGGACAGTTGCCATCTCCTGTTGAAGTGCCAAGCAATGTATGTAGAACTTACTGTGTTGTAATCTGCTCACCACTACCGCTGTACTAGTAGCGAATCATTTGCTACACATTCATAAGATCTGCTTGCTGCTAGTAAGCATATGGCTACAAAGAGACCAGTTTGCCTTGAAGTGGGAGGAAGGCAGCTGATGACAGCTTAATAAGACCCTTCTACTTTGCTAACAGTGGACGAGGCAAAAGGCATTAAGAAGCTATATGTCGAATGCCCCCATGCTGGAGGACAGCTGTGGCAGTAACAGCTGGACCCCTGTGGGAGGAGGGGAGGCAGGGAGGAGGTCATCTGACACCCCGTACAACACAACAGCTTTGGCTTCTGCTGAGTCTTGGAGGAGCTTTCAACCATTGTATTTAAAAATAAAACCCATGCAGCACGCCTGACACAAAGTAGATGTATAATTACAGAGCAACTTACTAACAAACTGAACGGGATTTTCCACAGTAGTCCAGGCCAGCCATAACCCTACTTGAAAATCCTGAAATTCGGGTGTTTAACACTATGGTACTCCAAACTCATTTTTGTTCTCAGCTTACTATGCCAAAAACACCATAAATTTACATACATGTAACAAAATATAGTTGTACAATTATATCTTTTACAATAATGAACACAATCTTAAAGCAAGTTAATAGTGATGACCTCTACTGAACCACCCCCCCAGAAAAGGTTGTGATTTTGAGTGTGTGCATATTCTCATGATTCGCATTCTCCGTAAGTCCTCACTTCCTAGGTGACATTATCTTGTTCAATATGAAGTCTGTGCTGCAAAATACTTCTCATTTTCAGAAACTACATGCATCCCGAACTGGATGTAATCATCAGATGTCTAAAATGATCTCTACTTTAAAAAGCGACTTTACTGAAAGGATAGGCCACTGAAAGGCCCTATGTTTACAGTAACGTGACAACTAGGATTTGCTCAGATTTCAGTATTGTTCTTCTAGTTATAAACCTTGCACATATCTGGGAAGCTAATAATCAAGGGGGGTTCTTTATTCTTCCCTGTCCAAGTTTTTCAGCCACTGCAAAATGAGTACACAATTAAATGTTAACACATTGTATGTATAATAAATATTTTATATCATGCCACAAAATAATTCTAATATTGCTGAGAAATCCAGCTCTTTTTCAAAAGGGGTGAGGTTTGGTCGAAGTCCATGCTCCGCATCTTGCTTCACTATTTTTTCACCCAAATTTACAAGCATTCCATTTATTTCAGCAGTGTCATTTGGAATTAAAATAGTGCCTAAGAAAAGGATTCTCTGTACAGTTCTAGCATTATATTCAGTAACAACTATGTAAGGCAACCTGGGCTGGAAGTGATTGAAGTTGCTGTAAATACATTAATAATGGCATTTCAGAACTATCTAAACCTGTAGCGGAGCCATCTTCTGACACTATTTTTTAATCAATTGTAGATACACTTAGTCACTTCATAAGAAAAAGTCCTTATTAACACAAGTCAAAGGTGTGAGGTCCCTGAAGACTTGGCTATCTTGGTTTATTTATTTCAACTGTGAGCACTTGCTTACGAAGAGTGTCAGCCCAGAGATTTTGAGATTACTTTAACATAAAACTGGATCACCCAAATAATTAATCTGTCGTCCTTTACTACCTACAAGGTATTTGGTTGAGGTGAACAGCTAAGAATGTTACAAGCAAAAGACAACACAGTTCCTGTCAGCTGTTTAAATGCTAAAGTCTATCTTTAACACCCTAAACTCTCCTGTGATCCCACAGGTTGCACAAGAATGGCTTAGTTTTAAAGTGTACCAACTTCTGTTAAAACATCTTCCTCTTGTCATGCAACAGGAGTGCTCCCCTTCATCTTTTCCCAGCTTTTTTAGACTAGTTCTTATTTTGCACTTCGGCAGCATCTCACCATCTTATCCATCCCTCTTTGAAACTTAAGACTTCAAAACTCACAGACAGGACAAACGGACAAGAGAGCTACTGCTTCATGATGTGGAAAGCTGTACTCCTATTTCTGTTAAGGAAGGGACTCCCACTGAGTTCCAAACTCAGGGCAGTATGTGAGCTGCTTTGCTGATGAAACACCAGGAACACAGCACTGCTAGAAGCCAGTGCCCATACATAGGTAAGGTACCTCTAATAAGCAGCACACTTCTCTTGGGAGTTACAGAGCTCTTAGCTCTCAATGCAGAAACGGACATTCACCCTGCCTCTCCACAGGAGAATCATCCCTATCCCAGCAGGAAACCCAGTACTGTATCCACGGATGCAAGGAAGTATTCATCAGTGTTTTACTCCTATAGCAGGAAATGCACCTAAGCATGCTGCTTACTACATGAGATACATATATATGTGTGTGTGCACCCATGTGTATATATGCACATGTATGCATACATATTTAGCATATATACATATATAAAATTCTGTTAGATTCCAACTTAGTTTACGAAGGCTCAGACTACATCCTTTTAACTTGTAACTGCAGATCTACAGCACTGACTGTGTTCATTTCGACATTCAAGTCGCCAACTGGCATCACTGACAATTTTTTATAACCACTGTCACAGTGGCCCAAATGAAACTTCATTAAAAATTGTTGGGGCACAGGGAGAGAAAGAAATGCTGTTATGCCAACAACACTCCTATTTTATAACTAAGTTAAGTACCATTATAGAGAGTTCTAGTGTACATCAGACCAGTGTCACTGCAGACAGTACATAATATACTGAGTGTATATTCACAAGCCGGAATATTGTATTTCAAGAAGAAAATTAGTAAGATAGTTCTGGGGCTCAAAACTACTGAACTTGATCAAGGTTAATATGTGTGTATGAATTACTGGCTTCTTGTTTTAAATAAATACATACATTCTCTTAAAGATAAATATGAATCTTCATGTCATTGATAAATTCCACATATAAATACAATTTTGATTCCACTGCAAAGGATTTCCAAATGTTTATACTAGGTGCATAGGGGAGGGTTTATCGCCATGCAGAAGAAAAACACCTTTTCAAATACAGAGCAAGGCTCCCCAATGGTGGAAAGGAAATGCCTTAGAAGTTACCTTGTATCCTTCTGGCAAGGAGGAGGAAAAAAAAAATTAAAAAAAAAAAAATCACACATACACAGACAGAATGCAATATAGGAACATAAAGTTCTTATTATGAAATTGCTGTCAGGTCAGGCACTTTTTCAAGAATTACAACAGAGTGAGCATGACAGCCCGTTTGAATGCAGAAAAGGGCCCTTCTAACTCTGCACGGTTTAAAGCCCAATGTTAATTCAAACTCAGTTAAAAGACTCAAAACTAGACAATGAAAACTCAAGTGAACTCACAGTTCAGAGCTTCCCTTTCGCTATCGTCATCAAGAGTTACAGACTATTCACATATTCAGTATGATTATTAGTGCCATAAGCTTCTGTTAAAAAGAAAGAGATTACCTTCTTTAGTGGAGTTGATTTTCTCATATCATATAGCACAATATTTCTGTCGGAAGCACAGCTTCCCAAAAGGTATGTCTAAAAGAAAAAAAAAGAAAACCGGTGTGTATGGTCTTCTAAACAATTCTGAGTATGGTTAACAGCTTACATTAGATACCTAAGCTATTTCACAAAGCTGGTAGTCAAATAGTTCCTTTTTCAATCAAGGAAATACATTCATCATTCTTTCTGTGGAGCTAATTATTCAGTACAAACATTTTAAATAGCTTCCCCTGTAAGATTCAGAATCCACCCAGTTCTCCCTGCTTCAAAAGTAACAAGCAATTCCTCATAAACACTTCATCTACGAACACAGCCCAGCCAAGAGGTATATAGGAACCGCTGTAGAAGATCAAATGCAACTGTTTTGCCATGGAGAGGGGTAGAAGTCTTGGTCACAGGGAGTACAGTACTAGAAGAGATGAGAGCTCCACAGCCACGTAACTGCTACTTTGTATGACTGAGGTACGGGCTATGTATTGTTGTTGGCAGAACGGAGACCACCCTACTTTTCTTTCTCCTCTCCCCCACTAACAGAGACAAAAGGTAAAAAGACAAAAATACATGGTACTACATTCCAAAGCAATATAGCCATAAAAACATACGTGTAAACACCTCCCTAAATATTATGTTAAAACACATATCAAAATCTAAATTTGGAAAAAGCTGTTAAAGATGGTGTTAGAGTTTAGTTCTCATACAGATCAAGAAAAATGTAGATTTCCAACTTACAACAGAAACATTACCTCAATGGGATTAAATTTTACACTGCTTATGCTATCAAAACCCCATGTCAGAGAACACATAGGACTTGTCCTTTGCTCATCCCAAATGTCCACTTGATGGCCACAGGTGGCAAAAACAGCTTCCTTCCAGTGATGATCAATTCCTGTATACACTGTCTTTAAAAGAAAAAGCAAAAACAACACAAAACAATTTACAAAAACAATTGTATACATAAATATGCAAGTATGTTCTGTTACAAAAAAGATAAACAAATCACTGCATATTGAGTCTGCCGTGTTTTTATTCATTTGTATTACTGAAAACGAAGTCACCGCTGCTACCAGAAACTAAGTCTTATCAGATGTACCCTTACACAACAGACTAGCTTTCTGTATACTAATTTAATGTACATGCATGCATTTCTTGTTAATTTACAATAGAGTCAGCATTAGAAGCCCATTTACAAAGTCTCGGCTGACTTTAAAGCAAATGGAAATTTTAAGTGTACAACTACAAATTTTCAATGGGGACCTGAACAGATTCCATAGAAATTACAATAATTAAAGCATTTCAAACTATCTATTTACAAAAAGCATTTAATGTTGTTCTTAAAATAAGCTTATCATAAATTGAAAGCGCTGAAGTATGTATTTTTAGCCCGCTTTTGTCAAAAAGAAAGACGTAAAGTTAAAATCTTGTATTGAATGGCTGCGAGGTATTGGCATGAAAAGAAAGTTACTTAATTTAGACTAAGCACTGACAACACACATCTGAAAAGAAAGGGACTACTGAAAGATCTGACCAGTTCGCAGGAAAGGAATGATTAGTAGAGACAGATCTAAGCAGTCTCTGATGGCATTTGAGATATTCCTTTCTGGTTACATGTAAAATAAATGTAATAAAAACTTGAAGATACTTTAAAAGTGCCATTATAAAATTTGATGCCATCACCTTACAACCCATTATAACAGGCAGTATCAAACTATTTCTCCCTCCTCTGAAAGCTAGATAAGAATTGGTTCAAACTTAATTCAAAAGAAGAGATGTGGGAAAATCTAAACTTAGATTTACTACCTTTCCAAGAATTGTATGAATAGGTTCTTCTTCTTCTCCATATTCCGGGCTCTCCATTTTCCACTGCTTCACAGTTTTGTCATCACCAACCTGGGAATATTGGAGAAAGGCATGTACAGTTTTACGTAAATATATTCTGTTTATTTTACTAGATGTGCTTTGCAATTAAGTACAGGCAGCCTTTCAAAAGAGAATGATCTATGACATACACAGAAGTAAAGTGCTCTCTCCTGCCTATTCACTGTTCCCTTTCATACCTCCAAGCAGATGATTAGTTCTCCTTGTCATAATATTTCGCTAGAAACTGAGAAGGTACATGTACATCGTCTGGCTGGAACGGAGTTAACATTCTTTATAGCAGCCCATACGGCACTGTGGTTTGGATCTGTGGCTAAAACAGTGCTGATAAGGCACCAATGTCTTGGCTACCGCTGAACAGTGCTTGCACAGTGTCAAGCAAGGCATTTCCCCCCACACACACACTCTGTCAGTCATCATCTCTGCCTCCCCCATCAGCAAATAGGCTAGGTGTGGGCAATAGACTGGGAGGGGACGCAGGTGTGACAGATGACCGGAATTGGCCAAAGGAGTATTCCATACCATATAACATCATGCTCAGCAATAAAAACTGGGGTAGTGGAAGAAGAAAGGGGAGGCGGGGGCTGGCTTCCAAAGTGGCTGCTGCTCAGAGACTGTCTGGGGATCTGTGTGTTTTCGAAAGGAGGTGACCGATTTCCTGTTTGTCACTGTTTCCCCACCACCACCACCTTTCCTTCACCTATTCAACTGTCTTTACCTCGATCCACGAATCTTTTCCAGTTTTCAAAAGAGATACTTCCAGGGTCGAATAGGAAAAAGCTGAGCTGGAATGACGACTACTTTTTAGACTACATTTTGTGATTCTTAATCAAATGGTACCTTAAACTGCAAAGTATCTTCTGGAAGTAATTTTGATGAGTATGTAAACAGTTAAAAGGCACTTTCCACCTCAGTTGCTCCAGTTGCCTGTTCCTAACGCCATGCACTATGCCAGCACAAGCTTTTTCATGGCTGTGCAGTGACCTGGATCAGGCAAACCAGCCAAAAAAATGTTAGCTATACAAGTTTAACTTCCTCTCCTGACAGCACTACTACTGTTTCTTCTTCTCCTCTCTCAATTTTCAGGCAGAGGGACTGTCAAAAGGGGATTCTAATCTGGAGTCACTTAGAATTTTTTGCTATGACTTCTCCTACATCCTAACTACTGTCCTCATGACCTGGTATGTACTTCAGAAAAGATACATATATATTGTAGTGAAAATAGCTCTTCTATACCCAGCTCAAAAGAAGCAAAGCCTCAGGACACTCTAATCTTCAAAACCAATTCTTTTTATTGTATCATCTTAGAATTGTTGTAATGCAAACGGGAAGACATACTGTTTCCAGACAGTTTACATGCAACTGAATCAGTTGTGGTTGATATAAGTTAATAAAGCTTAGATGGTTCCATGTTGATTAATCAGCTTATCTTTAATCATAGTATATGCAAATGGTTACTTTTTAAAGTGTTTGTACGTCTTTCAATGAACATTATCTATCTACTACTTTTATGAAAACTAGTTTACTCAAGTTTTAATTACATGACCATCCGTGAGCAGTTTTCTGGTATTTATCCCTTCCATAGTCTTGAATAACATCCATATCACAGCATCAAAAAAAGTTTCATCAGAAATAGAATCGTCAGGTTCACTGACAAATTTAATAAACATATTCATACAATATTTAAATATTGTATGGCAGAGAGTAAGTTGCTCACTGGAAAACAGATGGTGAGCAGGTACTCTGTACTGCTACACTATACTAAGGAGACACTTTATACTCACAGTAAAGAATGATGTACCACAGAAACGAGCACACATGCCTCGAACAAAGCCTTCATGGGCTTGTATAGTATGAATACACTGTCGTTTGGTCAAGTTCCAAATTTTAACCTATTAAAAACAGAAAAGTATTCTGTTATTTCAGTTTTCTACAGCCCACAACTGCAGTTCATAATTCAAGAACAAGAGATCACACATGTTGTAATGAAATGGCATAGCTGGCTTGAACACTGGCCAGATTTTATAATGTTAAAACTACTTAATTATTCCCTTCTTGAAAAAAAAAAAATTAAAAGTGCGGCTCTTTCCTTCTTACCCTTTCCCCCCACCCAAGCGGTATACTTAGTGTATTTTTGCATTCCCCTATTTTTGAACTAGAATTCTTGCTAAAAGGTAGCAACAGTGATAATTTTAGAAAAAATACCCCTCTAAAGAAAAAAAGTACAAGGAAATAGCCTTTGGAACCAACAGAATGTTTTCAGTCCAGTTGCTGTACTACATTTTATATAGATGTCCACCTCTCACAGAAGTTTCAGTTTCAAAGCATTTGGGCCCATTTAAAAAAGAAAGAAATGGAGGTCAGTTTTTATATTTGTATGTATTTATAGTACTCGGTACTTTACCTGCTCTATCAGTGGATAAGAAATCTGGCCAACATTTCATATAAATTTATTCCTCTCCTCTCTGAGAAGGTTAATCTCCCTTACACTACTGCATGACATATGCACATTCTATAAAAAGCAGAAAGCAACCAGCTACCCAGAAGATACCTTTAAACATATCGAGTACTATCAAACGAACAATGTAAGGGTGAGAGAGGACCGAGAATACAGGAAAGACGGGCAACTTTTTTCTGGAAGTGACTCCATTTAAAGTGCCCTTGCTTGCTATTTGTACTATTTATGTAAAATAATCAAACAAATATAGAGTTATCATTTTTTAGGCAATATGATAAATTATTATTCCAAAAAGTTATTAGTTGTGTGCCCCTTCCCCCTAGCTCATCTGACTTCATGTAATCTTCTTAATCTGCAGCAGTTTAACTTCTTCAAGGGGAAGAGGGGGGTCGCATGGGCAGCAAAAAGCAATCACTATGGACTGTAAATATTAACATTCACTGCTCCATGCCGGGGAACTGAAGTGTCACACCCTCTGCTCACAGCTGAACAGCTGAAAGCTGCTGCCTGTGCATGCTGGGAAATTACAACCTGCAGTTTGAGAAACACTGCCCCTAACTAGGTAAGTTGCACCTTCTGAGAGAAGATAGGGTATCATGCTGAACAAAGACATAAAGAAAGGTAAGCAGGTGGCATTTAAAAAAAACAAAACCCACCACAAAACAAGAAAGAAAAAAGAAAAGAAGGAAGAAAGGTACCTTGTTTGTTGTGGTTTGTAACTGCAGCTTACCTCTCCATCACAAGCTCCAGACAGCACCGTAGACAAACTCTTTGGATGTTTGGCCATGCAATTAACTCCATCTCTGTGGCCATCAAGCGAGCTAAGAAAGGGTTTTGCAAACACACGTTCTAGCTTTGTTGCGTTCAGAGCTCTTGTGTACTCTCGTGGAACCTCAAATGGATGCAACGCAGGGTCGTAGTTTCTTGGAACTGCAGTAAGAGTAACACACACATTAGAAACCCATGGTACGTAGTGTAATTCAAGGTAAGCTGAATTCAGAAGCTCTTCTCTTTGATTTTCCTGCCATGGGAGAATTTTCTGCAACACTAAGATTTTTGCTGTTCCTACCATTTTGAAATTGGTCCGTGGGATCATTAGTATGCTCACTTAACAAGCTTGAAGTTAATGAAGTCTGAAGTAACTCTGAAATTATCTGATGTCCTTTTCAAGGGAAGATATGAATGTACACAACAAACTGGAAGTTGCAGATATCTTGCAACTATTATTTAAAAAAAAAAAAAAAACCACAAAGCAAAAACAAACAACCCCACAATACCAACCTCCTACCACTAAACTCTAATATACACAGAAAGAACACAGCTACATGGACACATACAAAGAAAGGCAACCTAGCCCTCTTCATGTTTAGTCAGCTGCAAGCTAGCCCTGGCTCAGAAATGAGACTCATTAGTTTCATTAGCTTGGTCCTCTGCTAACGCTATCTGGTTTCCCAAACAGGAGTGTTTACATCCAACAAGCTTCAAGCAAGGGTCTCTGCATCTGCCTGCATAGATATACCTTACAATAAATTGAGAAAGACAGCGGATAGTGACATTGTGCTTCTAGTTTTTTGTCTCTTTCATTCCATTTCATGCAAAAAAGTTGAAAAGTCAGCAGAGCAACTGACACAGATCACTCATTAAGAATTGATATTTAGTTCAGTCTGCTGGTTTCTGAAGACTATTTGATGTATACCAAACCCTTTAAAATCTCTGATGAAATAGAGTTGGGTATCACTCTGTAATATGACAGAGAATTTGATTTAACAGCTTACACACAAATCCCACTTAGAAAATTAAGATTTATTCAGCTACTGTCCCAGTGGGTAACTTCAATAATATTTTCCCATGTTATAAATATATAACCACAATTAAATAACTAGAAAAGTGTTAATTCAATCAAATAATGAAGCATATGCAATTTAAAATAACACACGTCTATTGTCCTGCTCAAAGCAGTTTGATTCAGTGCATCCCAGATGCCCAGAGTTTTATTCCTGCTCTTTCTGACACGGGGTGGCCATTTTATTTCTGACACTAGGCAAAAACTAAACGTCATTTCTGTCATGTTACAGAGGTCAAACTGCACAACTGTTTAAGATCAGTTCTACGGAGGACGAGCAGAAGAGAGCATGGAAAGCCATCATCTCATCTACCAGGCTACAGCCGCTGCATCTAAAAAACGTGTAAAATCTGCACGACTTCTACCCGTTTTAATAGAGGATATGCAAGAAGCAGGATGAGATGTGCCAGGAAAGAAGCAGTAGTAAGTGCAAAAGATCGCCAAGAGTAGCCTAGGTAATACTAAGAGTAATCTCGGAGTACCAGAACGGTGGCTAA